AACAATTTCCTTTTACTTGGGTCCACAGTCACATGATAACAATAACAAGTAAATCAAAAGTGTTACATTAGGAAAACCACTGTCAAGGACTTCTCCAAAGTGCCAAGGAGCAAGCATATCAGTTTAAAAAGTAGAATGTGTCTGATGCACTCTCTATGGTCTTTTCAATTACCTCCTATGCTTCTGAAAGCTGAATAAAGATGGAAGCAGAATAATTGCTGCCTTTGAATTATGGTGTTGAAGAGTACTGAATATCCCATGAGATACCAAAAGAACAAATGTCTTCCCTAGAAGAGTGCAATCCTTACCAGCACCAGCAAACAAACCTCTGTAGAATCTGGCTGCTAGCTTGCCTCCAGAAACTCTATGAACTTGGAGAAACAAGGAAAGTTATACAAGTGTTCAGGTCTTTTGTTCATAGGGTCACTATGAGTCATGTACGACTTGCCAGCACTTAACTACAACAACAGAAGAGTGCAATCAGGGTGCTCTTTATAGACAAGGATTGTGGAATTTTGTCTCCCATACTTTGGGCATGTGGTCAGGAGGAGCCAGCGAGTCTTTATTAAAATATATGGAGGGTCAGAAAAAAGAGAGAAAATAGAGAGAAAACCCTCAGCAAGATGTATTGACACTATGACAGTAACAGTGGGCACCAGCAAATCAGAGATAGTGAGGATGGTATTGGATAGGGCAAGGTTCAGATTTGTTGTTCATTCGGCTGTTCTGAGTCCTAATTGACCACATGGCATCTAACAACAACAACAACAATGCTAAACTTAGACTTCCTTATGATGCTTCGCTAGATTCATTCCGCTTTCATTTACCAGCATCACATTGATTTCCACGTAAGAATTTCCTCTCACCTACTACATAGTCTGAGTGGGACTATACACCAAAATGGCACGTCCTTTCCAAACTAGGTGGGCATGCTCAGTCAAATAGGCTCTCTCTGAATTTTGAGCTTTCAGCGAGGTGGGATGCAAGAGGAATAAAAAAACTAAATCATATCTTTTCATTGCTTGTCTCTTAAAATTTCCATTAAGTTTTGTTCTTTCAGTTGTCTAAACTTCCAAAGAAGTTATTTTCTTATAGAAAATAAGAATTCAGCTGAAAGACCCTGTAGTATAACATGTTAGGAGCATCCTGGAGTAATTGTGTATTGAAAGAGACCTCAAACTACTTTCTCAAAAAAGTTCTTACTTTTCCAATTGATTCCCTAGAAGCTCACATCTAGACTTCATTCTTGTTGAAATCATTGTGATTTGCAAAGCTATACATCACCATCAATTATATTATGTGACATGAATGACTTATTTCTGTAAAGTGTCATTGTTGGTGAATGCATTATATTTTCTTATAAACGAAATCAAACCTAAAGTTCTTCTTACAATAAAGTCATTGGCACTTTATTGCAAATAGACTTTCTTAAGTGAGAGAGAAACGTCGGAGGTAACTGGTGGTTAATGGAATTATTCAGTCTAGTGATGGAGTCGTCATGCAAGGGAATCTCTAGCACGTGTCACCATGAAGTGATTACTCTCAAGAGAGCACAGTTAAGCCATCCGTTCTTATTAAGAGGCCAGTTGAGAGATGAGTAACATTACTTTTGGAATCTCATTTCCATCCTGGTATAAACACTTCCAACCTAAGCTCAAAGTTATATAACTAGACCATAGTACTCAAACATGTAGCAGAACCACCTCTACTGACATTCTGCCTTTCATGAAGAACAAGAAGAAGAAAGGAAAGCTTCATTTGCCATGGAAATATTGCTGAGGATCTCTACAAGGTAGGAAGTGGCACTGCTAACGGAAGGGTGGCGTCTCTCTGGAAGCTCAAATCCGCCTGTTCCGTGGGAGAAAGATGAACAATTTCCTTTCATACAATTTGTAGCCTTTGAAAACCTGCTGGAGAGTCAACTGTTATTTCAGATGACATGATGACATACAGCATTAAAGTGAAAACAGGCAGTCTCTCATGAAACTCATGTTGTAGTGAGAAAGACAACTTTATTTAAGTAGTCACAAAAAAAGTAGATTTACGACTGTTGTTATGTGCTGTCAAGTCACTTGCGACTCAGCGACCCGATACACAAAAACTCAGAATTCTGCTCTAAGTGAATTTCACGGTCTCTGACACACCTATCTCCATTACCTTAGTCACTATATCAATCCATCTCATGCAATATCTTCCTCCCCTGCACTTTCCCTCCACCCTTTGAAGCATAATATCCTTCTCCAAGGACCAAGTCTCTCTCCAGGCAACATGCCCAATGTATATGAGATGGAGCTTCAAACTCCTTGCCTCCAAGGAGCAAGTTGGTTTGAGCCTCTTTAAGACAGACCTGTTTGTTCTCTTAGCCAGCCAATAGTATGTTTAATACTCTTTTCTAGCACCACAGTTCAAAAGTATTGATTCTTCTTCTGTCATTCTTATTCATTGTTCAGCCTTTATGCTACAAATTATCAATTGATAGAAACAAAAGGTAAGTGAAGATGGGCAATCCCTCATGGGATTTATAACTTCTGAAAACCTGTTGGAGGGCCAGTTATGAGTTGTTTCTGACTTGGTGTCACATAACCAGCACTGTGAGTAATTTGACTAGTATTTCCCTCCCAATTTATTAGGAGTTGATTCCGGTGATTGTATTCCCATAGTCAGAAGGATGAGATAAGGAAGGAAGGCATAGGGTCAAGTAGGCATAGGGGAAGAGCAGGGACCACTATCTACCCATTTACTTCATACTTGGATATCATTTTTGTTTCCTTCCTTTACTCAGAACCTATATCCAATTTGGGTTCCTATATCCAATAGGCTATATTCGCTTGAAAAACCTGCTAGACACAGAAAGAGGCTTATCTTTGTTCCTTTTTGAAAAACAGGATCATTTATCTTATTTCTCAAAGAACATTCACTTCCAAGTTTAAATTTATATCTTTTTTTTCCCCCTGAGTTGATATGTTTTGCAAATGTTAGTTGCTATGGCAATAAATTGATTCCCTTCGAAAGCTATGAAGAGAAGATTGGCTATTTTTGTTGTTGTTATGAATACCATAATAGGTAAAATATCAGCAATAACCAAGGAAATTCCTGAGACAGGGAAAAATGGTCGAGGAGTGTGGCAAAATATTATATACCTTCTGATTCATTAAACATCATCAGAGTTAATTTCTAGTGAATAATTGAGAGATATTTATTCTTTTTATATGAAAATCCAGAAGAATATTTTTAATTGTGATAACATTTCTCTGTTTCCCCCCCCCCCACACACACACACCTAATTTCATTCCTTTATTTTTAAAATAAATACTTAGTAGGGGGAAGGTATGTAAGAGTCAGTGAGACTGGCTCAGGACAGGTCAGGCTTCAGAGCTGTTGTACATAGGGGCACTATGAGCTGCAGGCGACTCAACGGCACATAATAATAAGAGCATGAGCTCAGGTTGACTCTAGGGATTGTTATTGTTGCTTCTGTCTAGTACAACTCACAGTGACCCTAAGAACAACAGATCAGAACTTTGTCCTATTCCGTGCCGTACTCAACTCTGACATACTTGAGTCCATTGTTGAAGTTAAGGTTTTTTCTCCTTAACTAACTTTGCACCCTTCCAGTGATGATTTCCTTTTTCAAGAAATAGCCTCTCCTAACAACATGACCAAAGCATGTTAGACAAAGCTTAATCACCCCTTACTTCCAAGGAGCACTTTAGCTGTAACTTCTCCAAGAGCTGTTTGTTCTTTTGAAAGTGAATCTAATATTCAGTACCCTTCTCCAACACCACCATTCAAAAGCATCAATTCTTTTGTTATCATTATTAGTTGGTCAGCTCTCAGATGCACAGGAGGTAATTGGAAAGACCATGGCCTGAATCAGGTGCACCTTAGTGTTAAAATTGAAATCATAATGTTATCTGTCAGATATTCTTCTAACAGTGAACATCTAAATTATGACAGACTAGGAAGAAGGGTTGGCCATCCACTTCTGAAATAAAAGTGGCCTTTGAAAACCCTATGTATGGCAGAGCATGCTTAGAGTAGACTAACAGACACGGCAAGGGTAGTCGAGCCCTTAAATTTGGAAACACAAAGGAGCAGAAATTGTGGTAAGAAGAAATTAACAATTGATATGTGGAATGTGACAAGCATGAATGTAGGAACACTGGACATTATAAAGAAAGAAATGGAACGCATAAATATTGACATATTGAGTACTAGTGAAATAAGATGGATTGGCAAGCTCATATGAACTATTATGCTGGAGGTGAAAAGGTGAGGAAAAATGGGGTTGCTTTCATAGTTAAAAAGGCCATTTCTAGTTCCATCTTGAAATACAGTGTTGTCAGTGACAGGATATACCCAAACTCATACAAGGAAGACCTGTTAATACTACTATCATTCATATTTATGCACCTATAACCAGAGCCAAAGAGGAGTAAATAGATGATTTCTATAAAATGTTGCAATCAGAAATCGATTGAACATGTAACCAACATGCTTTAATAAAAACGGTTGACTGGAATGCAAAAGTTGGGAATCAGGAAGAAGGACCAGTAGTCAGAAAATACACACTTGGTGACAGATATGGGGCTGGGGATAGAATGATAGAATTTTGTACAATTACTTATTCATATAAAATACCATTTATAAGAAACATAAATGCAGGCAGTACACTTGGATTTCACCTGATGGGATGCACAGGAATCAGAACGATTACATCTGTAGAAGGAACCATTAGAGAAGTTCAACATCAGCAGTACAAACCAGGCCAGGTGCTGATTGTGAAAAAGACCATCAACTGCCCATATGCAATTTCAAATTAAAACTAAAGAAGGTTTAAATCATACCCACAAGAATAAAAATTTGACCCTGAGTTTATCTCCCATGAATTTTTTTTCAAGTTTTACTTTATTTATTATTCAGTGTAAATTCCAACATGATACACTGATGTGGTTTCGTGCATTTAGGGAAGAAACATATCTTTGTTAAGTGAGAAATTGTGCGGATGGCTTCTGGAAGACCTTCATTCTAAGTGGCTTTTAAAAAAATTTCATTTAGAAGTCAGGGCCTTCTTTCTTCAGTTTGCTATAATCCACATTCACTGAGTAAAACTTGTATTGATCATTGGGGCCTAGTTTGTTCCATGGTTCTGGGTTATTCTTTCTGTCCCAACAGACATCTGGATTAAATAAAGCCAGACGCATGACATACAAGGCTGCTCCAGTACCTCCAGCTCCAATGAATACAAAGAGAGGTATCAAGCTTGGGTGCTTCTTGGCTTGACTGAAGATCTGGCGGAGCATATTTGCGGCAGAGCCCTCCCGTGCAGAAGGAGAGGATATGTAAAATTAACAGGCCTCCTTGGAAAGAGAACTCTCTGCCCCAAGGTGCGGGCGTACCTCCCATGAATTTAAAAACCAACTCAAGAATAGTTTTGAGGCCTTGAATGCTAGTGAACGAAGACCAGATAAGCTGTGGGAAGATATAAAAAATATATTCATGAAGAATGCAAAAAGTCATTACTAAGAAGGAAGAAGAAGAAAAGACCAAAATGGATGTTAGAAGAGACTCTGAATACTGCACTAGAGCACTGGGTAAGGGTGATGGGCATTGGTGAATTAGTGAGAATGGCTCAGGATAGGGAACGGTTCAGAGCTGCTGTACATAGTGTCACTCTACGTCGCAGGCACATAACAACAATAACATATTATGGCAGGTTTGGAAGCAGGAGTGGCATCCACTTCCTAAACAACACGCCTCCAGAAGTTGTATGAACTTTGGTAAATGTTGATAGTTGTAGAGGGGCTTCAGGCCTTTTGTTCATGGGGTCGTTATGAGTCATGCTCAAGTTGAAGGCAATCTATAATAACAACAACAATGTAAAATACTTCAAACTCTTTGCCACCCAGTTGGAACCAACTCATACCTCACACTTAAATGGGTTTTAGGAACTGTAAATCACATAGAAGAATGCCTATCTTTCTCTCAAAGAGCAGCTGATGGATTTGAACTTCCAGCCTGTGGGGTTGGCAGCTCAACTCACTACCTTGCAAAAGGTAAATATATTATTCAGTGATTATAATATAATGGTAAAAATACTGCCACTATTTGTGCACAATACAAAGCTGAGAGAGTAAATTTCATAATCTGAGAAGAGTTTATGCTAATAAATTCCCAGTCAATAATCGTCTACCTTTGCTAAGATCTAGCCTGTCTCTGAAGCCAGACAGAATGCTTGTATAAGAATGTAACACTAACAGCTAATCATTGTCTAACTGTAGGTAAGCCACTTTGTCTCTCCTGAATGTCATTTTCTCCTTTTGCAAAATAAAGATAAAAACCAATGCCTACCACATGGGGTTGCTATGAGGATTAAACAAATTACTATTTGTTAATATTTACCTAGAAGCTAGGAAGTGGTGGGTGTGTGTCTCTGAGTGTGTACACACAATCACCTTATTTTACTTTAGATTTCTTCAGCATTTTTAATAAGAATATTCACTGTTTTCAAACTTCAATCCTTTCTAATTTCATGATCTAAGGAATTAACTAATAAACCATTGGCTGTATAAAAAGCAGATGGCATGAAAAAGAAAGAGAAAGAAGAGGCATGAATAATCATGAAATTGGAAAATAGATCCTGGATAATTGAAAGATGATGAAGGACAATGAACTATGAAGTCAATAATTCTTTCCTCATTTATGAAGAGAAAAGTGAATGTTTAGAAGACTGAAGCAAATTGGTCCCGATGAGGGCATGGAGCCTGGAGTGAGGTTGCAGATGTGAGGTTTAACACTGGATTTTTTTTTTTCAATAAATGGCTACTCGAAAGTCAACAATATTTTAAATTCACTGAGTTTGAGCATCTTCATATATAAAATGGGCATATAAATGGGTTAATTCACACCAAAAACTTAAAATAACAGCATTTTCTAGATGTTTAAGAAATTGTATCTATACTTTTGTTACTGTGAGCTTGTAAGCCAAGTGTATTTATTAATGAGATAAAATTCTAAAAAAGATAATAAAACCAAATTCACTAAAACAAGATAGAATTGTCCAATATGCTATCCTTAGCTATAAATATTACAGAACTAGACTCTCATTTCTTTCTCCAAAAAGCTGATGGTAGGTGCAAACTACTGACATTTTGGGGGCCAATTTAGTGTTTTAAACACTATGCCATCAGAGCTCTTTCTACTGGAGTAAAGTTATTTAAAAATATATTTATTGGATATATATCATCTTTAATTCAGTTTATATAAATAGTACTCTAAGAAAACTACCAAAAATATCCTAATGTAAAGGGCATTCATGTTTTTTAACTTTTGAGCTAGAGAAATCTATATTAGACATAATCTGACTGATATTTAAACTTGTGAAATGAGCAGATGATTCTGCTCCTTAGTAAAAGATACTTGCCATAATTTCAGTAAATAAACCAGTATAAAATAAGAAAAAATTTCACTAAGAAGGGATTGGATTGAATAATAAATCTTATTTAAATCATATTTTATTGAACATGACTTGCCACTCATTTGTTAATATAAGAGTTGAACTAACACAATTGTCTGGTAGATATGTTTATAGAGCAAGTTACAATGAGCTTTCTCTAGCCTTCCCTGTCCTCACAATCCCAGATATACCCAAGCCCATTATAACATTTACTGTATCAACCCATCTTATCAGAGGTCTCCTCTCTTTCTGTGATTCTCTGTCTTTTCTAGTATTATGTCTAGGGTGTCAGAACCCTTGAAAATTGGTTTTTCTATCTATTGTGTTGGCCCCCAGCTACCTCAACTATGGACCCATGGTCTTGAAAATTATTAACAGCTGTGGGACCAATATAAAAGGGTGCTTTCCACACTGAGAATCTGTGATGACAGTGGTGGAAAGAGGTGGTGAAAAGACTGTGGCATTGCTGTGAAGAAACTGTAGCAGGGTGTAACCAGAGGAACCCTGGAGATCAAGGGCACAATTAAAGATTTTGCTTGCTGGATGATTGCTGTGAGTTACCTATGACTCCTCAGCACTTAACAACAATACCACCAGCATAGAGAGAGTTCAGGTGGCCTAGTGGGCAGAAAGCAATGCTACCAAGGCAAAGGTGGGTGACTCTAATCCGTGGCCCTTGGGCCCATCTTTAATTGGTTTTGGTGAACATTCTTCTAAGTCATATAGCCCTGGCCTGTCCACTTGCTGTACAGAGAAGTAACTCGTGGTTGCTGTGAAGCTGGACACTGTGACAATGATGTGACAAATGTGAGAATGGTTACCCATGGTGGACAGTGTTTGGTGGAGCTCCCTGATTAAAACAAGCTTGGAAGCAGGAGTGGCATCCACTTCTGAAATAGCTTGCCTCTGGAAACCCTATGAACCTGGAAAAAAAGATGAAAGCTATACAAATGTCCAGGTCTATTGTTCGTAGGGTCACTATAGTTGCCTATGACTCAATGGCACTTAACAACAACAACAGAAGATTGAACGAAAAACTGACATAACTGATCTAAGGTTTGCTGGATGATTGAGGAAGCCAGAGGCTTCTTGTATCAGTGCTGCTCAACTGAACCTAGATTTTCACTGGTTGTCTGAGAAGTTGTCTTTCACTAATTGAGGAATTATGTCTTGCTGTTAATCTGTTAATCTGACGTAGGACTGCTGGGCTAAACCTGTATTTGCATTGTGTAATATTCTTTGCCTCCCCACTAACCAGCCAATTTCCCTAATAAATCCTACAACTGAGTAAAGTCTGTGAGTCTTGCAATGAACATCAGACCCAATGATTAATAGAAAAAGATTCAGGAGCATGGAGGATGGCATGTCTGACTTTGAAGCTATTTCAGTACTGTGGATATGATTGATGGGGAATGTTCTCCTTTATGAAGCAGGTACAAATCAGACTCGGCTACCCACATGTTACATCTGCTCCTTTTGCAATGTCATTTTCCAAAGATTTGGCCCCTCCTGACAATAAGCCTAAAGCAATTGAGAAAAAGTTTAACTATCTTTGCCTGAAAGGACCATCCTAACTATACTTCTTTCAAAACAGACTTATTTATTCTTTGGGGAGTCCAGGGGATATTCAGAACTCTTCTCCAGTGCTACAGTTCAAAAACATAGATTCTCTTCTTTTGTCATCATTATACATTTTCCACTTTCTGGTGCTTAGGAAGCAATTGAAAGACCATGGCTTGGATCACGTCTTTTATACATATACACACACACACACACATGTATATATATATATATATAGAGAGAGAGAGAGAGAGAGAGAGAGAGAATTTTTATATAGAGTAAAGCAAGCCAAGGCTGCAGAGACATAGTCTATTATTTCTACTGTCACTTAACAGGTTTGATGGCATCATGTATGTATGTATTTTACATATAAATTTAAATATGTCTACAAAGAAAAAACAGTTGTCTTAAATTAATCTCAACTCATGGTAACTCAATGTGTAACATTTAAGTATAAATTGAAATAAGTACATTTTAATAAATACTGTGGCTTTCTATTCAATACTTATGGAGCTCTGGTAGTATAGTATGTAGGAAGTTACTCTGCTGGCCAGTTACTTTCTGCTGGTTTGCCTGTTTGGTGGTTTGGATCTACCAGTGGTTCCTAGGGAGAAAGATGAACAATCCCTGTCCCCTTACAATTTAGCCTCAGAAACCCAATGGATAGTCAGCTATGAGTTGGTTCCAATTCAGTGGCAATGAGATGAGAGAATTCAATACTCTAACTTCAATTTACACAACTTTAAATATACAGGTAATATTCCTTTTGCCTGTATTTGAACATCTGAATCCATTTGTGTCAATGGTGTACTATTCCTGGCTGATTCTAAACCCCATTAAGAAAATAGCTTATCTTACAGTAGGCCTTGAAATACATGCCAGAGTGCTAAGTAGGTGATGAGTTTTTTTGAGACTTACTTTTAGAGCTTTTATATTTTTATAGGTGTTCAAAGTAAGCAAATGGCTAGAATCTATAAGCTGTGTCCATGGAGAAGGATGGGCAGTCTACTCCTATGCAATTTACTGCCTCCAATATCTCACTGGAGGCTCAGCTGTGGGCCGGTGTTGACTCAATGACACACACTAACAAGTAGGTTTAGAACACCTTACTCATCTTGGGCTTCTTTTCACCTTTCATTTGTGTAGCAAATTTCTTCTTGATCAATAGTGAATGGCAGCATTTGTTTAAATACAGGACAAATTGTGTTTTGGGTTTGTTTTTTTTTTATGCCACTGAGTCAATTATTACAACAACCATGGAGAAACAAGTTGTGTTGTTGTTGTTTTTGTTGTTATGTGC